TAAAAGGCTGAGTGTTTGACTTTTCTTGGGAGATAGATGTAGTAGTCTGTTACTGTAAAGATTTTTTTGTTGTTCTTGCTGTTAAATGCTGTTGAGTCACCTGTCACTCACAGTGGCCCTGTGCACAACAGCTCTGAAGCCTGCTCTGTCCTGAGCCAACATCATTGTCTCTGACACAACACCCCCATGACCCCAGTCATTGAGTCAATCCATCTCATTGAGCCTCTTCTTCTCCTGATTTATCCCTCTACCCTCCCAAGCATGGTGTCTCTCTCCAGTTACTGGTCCCTCCTTGAAATATGCCCAAAGTATGTCAGACTTACAAATTTGAAAATCCTGTGGGGCAGTTTTACCCTTCCCTACAGGATTGCTCTGAAGGCATGTGATGCAGATCTACCAGCCCCTCTGTAAGACAAAGATGGAAATCTCCTCCTATGTGATTAAAACTGCCTCTGTGCACATCCATGTTTTATTGCAGCTTTGTTCACAATAGCAAGGAGCTGGAAACAACCTAAGTGCCCATCAACAAATGAATGGATAGAAAAGCTATGGTATAAGGGAGCTCTGGTGGCCTAGTGGCAAGAAACTGCACTGCAATCCCAGAGGAACACGGTTCGAATCCACCAGACGCTCTGCCGGAGAAGGAGGCACAATATCCTCCTGTACCAGTCAGATCTGATTTGACGGTACACGCACACAAAATAATAAAAAAAAAAGAAAGAAAAGCTGTGGTATAGTGACACAATGGAATACTATGCTGCATTGGAAAACAAGGAACTCACGCAGTATTAATCAAAATGGGTGACTCTGGAGAACATTATGCTGAGTGAAGTATCCCAGTCACAAAAGAACAAATATTGCACAGTGCCACTGTTGTAAAACAGGACTGACCTTGGGGTTGGGGAGAGACTGAGAAAGATGGGTTCAATATTGTATAATGCACTGAAACAGACAAGGGAGAAAACTGTTTAAAATGGATATGTGATTAGGTATTTCTGTCATGACAGGAGTTTAGAGCAATGGCTACATGGTGGAGTGGACCTGGGGGAGGGTTTGTAAAACAATGAAAGAATTTTTCTTTAACTTTTCCCAAAAAGGTAGTGTTCTGGGGGGCAGGCTTGGGAGGGGACAAATGTGCAACAATGATTGAATGGAAATCCAAAGCCTCTGTAAATTTTTACTGAAATTAATAATTAAATTAAAAAAAAAAGTAAGTTAGAGTAAGCAAGGCAATGGATTTATAACTGCTTATGCTAATAACACTGTATCATGGTATGGAGGAGGAATAGTCGAACTGTGTCCACATTTACAATATTCTTTTTACCAAAACCATTTATAGAAACTAGGAACTGCATTGGAACATGTATCTCTGGATTGGAAATGAGCATATTGTTAATATCTCTAGCCTTAAAATATTATATTGTTCAAAATTATTTGTTATATTATTTGTTTAAATTTTCCCCTCTTTTAACAACTGGGATCTAGAGGGAAGAGAAAAGACCAGAGAATGGTCAAAATTAGGGGCAGCTATTGCTGCCAGTTTAGGGCCTATGTCAGGAAAAGGAAGTCTTACTCAAACAGTGCCACCCAAAGGTAATAAAGGAGGTCAGAATTGCTTCCACTGTGGAAAGCTGGGCCACTTCAGTAGACAATGTCACAGACAAGAGCCACAGATAGGCAAGGGAGTAGAGAGGAAGCTCCCACTCACTTGCTTTAAGTGTGGATTTGACATCAGGTCCTCATAGCTGACAGGACTGACAGGCCCCAGCTCCCAGCTCAAAACAAAGGAGGATGCTTCAACAATTTAGATCCTCCCAGAAAAGCTGTGGGTGAGCATTAACATTACTGGTAAGTATATTTATTTTCTCCTCGACACAAGAGCCTAGTATTTGGTCCTAAAAGCCTTCTGAGGTCCCAACTTTTCTCACTATTTCTTAGTTGTTGGAATTAACGGAAAACCTCATAAGCAGTTCCTTACTTCACCTCTGCCTTGCATAGGGATTTCCGAGCTGTAAAACAACTCAGTGGTAGATGGAATTTGGTCCAGGACTTAAGAACAATAAATAACATAGTTGAGCCTCTACATCTTGTGGTTCCTAACCTTTACACTATAAAAGACAAAGTGCTAGTCAATAGGCCTTTTATTTTAAGAACTACCTTCCCTCTGTAACTTGAGTTGTGCCACTATTAGAACCTCTACTTGGAATATTACGGCTTTTAATTTTTGACTCATGTACTTTTAACTTGTTAGTTAAATTTGTATCTTCTAGCTGCAACAGTTCCATGATACACCTTCAAGGATATGAACATGTATGGCTAAGCACAACTGATAACAGTACATCTAAATTCCAAAATCAATCTCCACAATAGTCTATGTGTTTCCTACTGCCAAAGGAGGCCTTTAGAGTAGTGAGAGAAGATCTTTGCCCTGAAACCTACAGCGTCCCTTTTCAGCAGGAAGTAGCTGAGAGAATACGCTGTCCCCTTTTCCTTATGAATTCGAGGGAAGTCTCTCTCAGGGAGGAGTGATAGGGAATGGCAAAGGACACACTGACAAAGGAGATAAATCAGAACTAGCTTTGACAAGCACTGTGGAAATTGGACAATTAAAACAGATTTTCAAGGGGGAAAAAAAAGAGGAACAAACTGGGCGGGGGATAGAGAGAAAATAGTGCAACAGTGAATGAATGGAAACCCAAAATCTCTGTAAATGTTCATTAAAATTAATAAAATTTAATTTTAAAAAAAGTGACAAGTAAAAGTAAGAATATGTAAACTAAATAAAAAATTTGAATTATAAAGTGATTATCTTATAATTTGGGAAAAATAAAATCCTTCATACAAAAAAAGAAACAATAAACAATAACCTGCCTCTGAAAACCAGCTGGAGGGCCAGCTATGAGTCGATTCCAACTCGGTGGAACAGAAAACTACCAACACAAGAGCAATAGGGAGCTCTTGTAGCCTAGAGGTAAGAGGCTGTACTGCAATCCCTAAAGTACGTGGTTTTAATCCCCCAGGTGATCTGCAGGAGAAGGACAGGCAATCTTCTCCTGCCTCTGGAGGGTCAGCTATGGATTGGATTCAACTCATCAGTACATCACAACAATAATAGTGTTGCTACGATTAACAATCAATTTGATAGCAGTGGGCTTTTTGTCTTAGTAAAGTAAGTGAAGGTCACTGTGATGAACAATCTATTTTAAATAGAGGTTGTTTCAATCATTTCAAAGTGAGTACAAATTTATATAACATTTAAGGGCCTATGGAACTTAGTTCTATCCTGTAACACAGAAGGTCAACCATGAGTCCGAGCTGGCTTAATGACAAGTGTTTTTATTTTTTTCCCCCTTAAAAACACACACACACACACACACACACACACACACACACACACACACTAACTACAGTGAAACATCAGTCAGCCATTAATATAAATGAAATCCTAAAATGTGCAGCAAAGTGTGCAGATCACACCTCAAGTTAAAGAAAACAAAAATTCTCATAACTGGATGAATAGGCAACATCATGAAAAATAACCCAAAGTTTGAAGTTCTCAAAGGAATTCATTTTACTTGTATCCACAATCAACATCCATGGTAGCACGAGTCAAGAAATCAAAAGATGTACTATATTGGGCATATCTGCTGGCAGGGACCTCTTTGGCTACTAAAAAAAAGATGTCAGTTTAAAGAGTAAAGTGCACCAAGCCATGGCATTTTCAATTACTTCACATTTATGTGAAAGACAATAATGAAGACTGAAGAAAAGCTGATGCCTTGAAATTGTGGTGTTAGTAAAGACTTTTGACTATCCCATGGACCACCAAAAGAATACACAAATCCGTCTTGGAAGAAGTGCTCAGTGCCCAGAAAATGCCATTAAGTTTGGAAAAAAAGATGGTCAGTGAGAGATTAAAAACCCCTTGAGATGAACTGATACAACAACTGCAACAATGGGCTTGAGTATGGCAGAGAATGGAAGAATGACGTAAGACTGAGCAGGGTTTTGTCTGCTTTACATGGGGTTTCTGTGAGTTGGAGACAACTCCTAACAACAACAAAGTTCCATAGTGGTAATCAAGAACAAGAGGCGTAGGGAAAGATGGTGCTCTTTGCTTAGAAGGAACTGAGTTTCTGTTAAGATGGAAAACCTGGAGATGGATAGTGGCAATAATTGCACAACACAATGAGCAAAATTAATGTCACTGAAATGTACATTGGAAAAACAGTGAAATGACAAATGTGTTATATAGATTTTTGCCACAAAAACCAAAAAAGGTGGCTAATGGTATACTACTCTTTCAAACTCTAGGGATATAAAATGATAAAGTATACATTTAAACTTAGAATCATTATAAGAGGCTTATAATCTAAAGAGAAATAACTTAGCACATTATTGTTCACATCAAGAAATCACAGCAACTAATTCAGGAAAGGGCACTCTGGTGGTTTAGCAGTAAGGAGTTGTGCTGCCAACCCAAGGACAAGTGATTAGAATACAATAGTGGTCCACGGGAGGAAGCTGGGCAATGTTTTGTGTGATTTAATGTCTCTGAAAACTTACTCTAGTGTCAGCTATGAGTTAGTTCTGAGTTCACAATACATAACAACATCAACAATTCAGAAAGCTAGTACTTATTTCACTAAAAGGACATTAATTAGCCAAGAATCACTAGCCAGAAATTGTGGTCCTACATGGAGACCCAGAGAAGCAGCAACAGAAGCAGAAGCATAGGTTACTCATGAAAATAAACAGAACTCGCTGCTGTTTTGACTCACAGTGATCCTCTAGTGAGTTTCCAAGGCTGTAAATCTGACCAGTGCCAGAGATGTTCTGTCTTTTGGTTAAGTACATAACAGGTGAGAGATTACACTTTTAGAGTGCAAGATGACAATTTATTTTCATGTTTACATTATGGACAGAAGTTGTAGTATACAGGAGAATATCTTAATACTTTTATTTCAGCAAAAAAGAAATGTTTTTAAAAAGGTACTTACCACAACTTGTAGCACCTGTTCATTGTGAATTGAGGAGGAGGAAGAAGAGGAGGAGGAAGAGTAAGAGGAAGAGTCAGCCATCATTTGTGCCAAAGTCTGCAACAGGGTTTTCCCAAGAAGGAAAAAAGAGCTAAACATGGCAATTACTCCAAACACCATTCCAAAATTGAACCTGTGCAAAGCAAAACAAAATTGTAAGTGGACAATACCTCAATTCATAATGAACAGATACATCAACCAGACACATTTCAAAAGAATGGCTAAAACGCTTAGTAACCTCTTTGTCTTATCTGAACTTTAGATACATGTAGAAACACGGGTACTAGTCCATTTATCATTCTTTGACAACTGAAGCAGCTATGTTGTTCATCCCTCCTCCCCAAAGAATAAATAGTTTGCTATCTTGCTTTATGCTCACTAATGGACACACTGAGTTGGTTTTTTTTCTCACCGAAAATGTTCTGCATTTATTTACATACATTTTAAATAGTTATTACAGGATAACATTTCCCCACCTTTTGTCATATATGAAGATTAACTAGATAGGCCATTGTGGACAGTGCAATACTGTTCCATTACCAACAGTAAAAAGGATTCTCTTAACATTTTATTAACCATCTCTCTATATACATCTTGTTGGTTAAAAAGTGTTTTGAAAAGCTAATATAAGAAATTAAATTAACTGTTTATGCCATTTTAAGAAGCAGACCAGGGCACTAAAGTCCCTTGTAACTCCAGTTGTCTAGTTAAAAGTATCTTTTTCCCCACTAGTGCTAATTTATATTTTGTTCTGTAGATACACTCTCTTCTGAGCCGTAAAAGTGACTAGCAACTCTGTAAAAGCCAGCAATCAATTTCTTTTTTTTTTTTTTGCATTGAAGCAATCAATTTCTTGAGTTCCTTAATAAAGAGCAAATATGATCTCAGTTATTCACAAGAAATTGGGTTCTGTTCAGTTTCCTGAGTCAAGGGAACAGGGGCCACTATCCATTCCAATTAGCCTTTCTCTCACTTTTCCTCAGGACTGTCTTTAACCAAAATAGGCCCAGGTTCTGAGCTTTTGGGAGTACTAGGAGGAAGGGAAAATCTTGGAATGCTGTTTCCCTTCTGATCTGGGTGAGTCTTCTCACAGGAGAAGACACTAGGATCTAGATATTCAGTAAAATGAACATGTAGCATGGGTTTTGAAGTGTATGTATGTGTTCCCCAGAGCTTTGGGGACTGAGTATTGGAACCAAGGGCCTCTGGAAATGTCATTTTCTGACTGATTGGGATAGTTCCTGACAAGTGGGATTCCCAGCATCACTGAACTGGAAGAAGTCAGAACTCTCAAAAGTGAGATGAAACTTGGAGGGGGTTGGTTTCCACCTTGCATGTCTTGCCTGGTCTCGATGATGAGGTTTGTGGTAAGCACAGAAACCACTTTCTGCTGTATCAAACTGAGGCAATACCCAAGAAATGGCAGTACTGTGGTCAATGGCTTTGCTGAGCACCTGTCTAGTGTGGCTGGGAGGCTGTGGAGATCCAAAGCTGTGTTTGGAGCCCTCCAGTGGTTGCTGGTGAAATAGCGAAGCTTTCTGAGAATGCTGTCTGCATTTTATTCTGGGAAGCATCAAAAGGAGAATGAACTGCAGTTAGTAATCACTTGATACTGGTTGCAATCAGGTGGGGGGATGGACTAAAATTCCAACTCAAGCCTGTTCCGGCCCACATCTCTTCTTAGCAACCGACAAGATTCACACCCAGAACGGGCAGACAAAGGCCTGCACTGATTGGTAACACACCATCACATAGTACATATTAATGCTATTCTCATATAGACATAAAAGGTCTTTTCAGATTATAGACAGCTACCTTTCCCATCTACCAATTGTATAGTTTGCATTTTTATTTTAACTCTGTGATAAATGTTTTTAAATATTAATATGGTAAGATTTAACAATAGTTTCTTCTACGTAGGCAGTCTCCTTCTATATGATTTACTGCCTCTGAAAATCTGTTGCAGAGTCAGCTAGGAGTCTGTTCTGACCCGGCACAAAATGTCATCTTCATCACTGGGAAAAATCTATTACTTCTTCTAACTTAAGCTTTTATGGCAATATTAATAACATAAAATTTGCTGTATTTTACATTCTAGTTTTTGGTAAGTTGAATTTTTCAAGGAACTTCTCCAATGAATCCAGTTTTTTAAATTCATATGTGTAGAATTAAGCAGAATACTTTTATTATGGTTTTCTTTTTTTAAAAAAAATTTTTTAAATTATTTTTTTGTGTGCATGTACCGTCAAATCAGATCTGACTGGTACAGGAGGAAATTGTCCCTCCTTCTCCAGCAGAGCATCTGGTGGAGTCGAACTGTGTACCTTTGGGATTGCAGTACAGCTTCTTGCCACTAGGCCACCAGATCTCCCCTATTATGTTTTTAATCTCTAAATTATGTTATTTTTAGGTGTCCCCAAGTTGGGTTAGACTTGTAGGGATGCTAAGAACAACAGAATGAAATCCTGTCCAATCCTGCCCTATCCTCACAATCTCTGCTTTATTTAAGGCAATTGTTTCAGTCATGGGGTCAGTCTTTCTAAACTGAGGCTCTTCCTCTCCTTCACTAACCCTCCACTTTTTAAAGTATGATGTTCTTTTCCTGGGACACCACCCTGATTGAAGCACTTATTGAAGATCAAAGACTACAGCCTTCACTAAAGATGTTACCAGGAGGAGCTAGTATTTGGAAAAAAAGACATTGTACTTGGAAAAGTAGAAGGTCAGCAAAAGAGAAGAACCTTAATGAGACATGACTGACACAGTGGCTGTAACAATTGTTGTAAGCATGGCAGAGACTGTGGGGTGGGTGCAGGGTAAGGCAGGGTTCCAACCTGCTGTTCAAGGGGCCTTTGGAGTTGTAGTTGACTCAGTAGCACCAAAAAATAAACTTGTGATAACATGCCCAAATTATGTGAGACGAAATCTCAACCATCCTTGCTTCCAAGGAGTATTCTGGCTTCACTTCTTCTAAGATTTGCTAGATATTTTTGGCAGTCTACCTTGTATTCAATCATCTTCACCAGTACCACAATTCAAAGGCCTCAATTCTTCAGTCTTCCTTATTCATGGTCCCACATTAACTTGCACACGGATCAAGTGAAAAATGCTATCTCTTGGGTCAGGTACACCTTAAATGGATATCTTTGCTCAAATTTAGCATTTACAAAAGTACTTAGTCATGACCTAAGGTTACTTTTAATTTCTGGTTACTTATATCTACTTACATGTTTCTGGAAGCTATGCTAATTGGATTTAAAATATTCGCAGGGTCAGCCATGGTGTGTAGATTTCAGCAGAGCTTCCACAGTAAGATAGAACAGGAAGCTAGACTAGCCATCCACTTATGACATAATGGGCCCTTGAAAACCTGGTGAGTCAGAGGAATATTCTCTGAAAATAGTGCCAAAAAAGAGGCCCTCAGGTATAAGGCCTCAAGACATGACTTGGGGAAGAGGGGCCTCCTCAAAGTAGTCTACTGTAATGGTATGGATGGAGTAAAATCTTCAGCCAATGAATGACATTCAACTGCTGATGTGGTATGACTCAAAATGAGAAGAAACAGCTGGAGGCATCCATTAATGTTTGGAATAGAGCATGTACAGAGTATGAACCTAAGAAAACTGGAAGTAAAAAAATCAAATGGAACACACAGTGAGCTAAAATGGACTAATATTTGTATCAGATAATAATCCTAACATCTATCAAGGCAGGAGGAAGAATTGATGACTCTGAGCTGTGGTGTTGGAGAAGAGTACTGATTATCTCATAGACTGCCAAAAGAAAAAATAGATATGTCCTGAAGAAAGTGCAGCCAGAGTGAAGTGAAGTGAAGGGAGGTGAAGATGACAAAGCTTCATCCCATATACATACTTAGGGCATGTTGTTAGACAAGGCTATTCCTTGGAGAGGGCTATTATGTTTAAAAAGATGGAAGGTTAGTGAAGAGGAAGACCCTCAATAAGATGGATAACACAGTGACTGCAGCAATGTGCTCAAGTATGTCAGAGATGATATGGATGGCATAGCATAGGACAGGTTTCAGATCTGTTGTTCACAGGGTTGTTATGAGTCATACAGAACTTGATGGCACCTAACAAGAACTTCTGCAATCTGAAGCTAATTAAACATGCAATCAAGAGGCATTAATAATACTGGTAATTGGAATGCAAAAGTTGGATACAAAGAAGAGCTGGTAGTAGACCTTCACCATGTTGAAGGTCATCCCAGTACAGGTAGATGGGGAGTCCTGCAAGTTCGAAGCCTCCTACATCTGCATCGCCCTGCACAACCAGACCACCATGGTGCAGAAAGACAAGCAGCAGAAGGACATCCTGTTGCACAACGATCAGCAGCCAGTGCCTGAGCAGGTGAGCAGGGTCAGCATGCATGACTATGAGGCCCTTCATTTCGACAAGAAGATCTCAAAGAGGCCCTGGTGGTCCTGGGAGACAGCGACTTGGAGCTCTGCCATGCACACATTGAGAAGCTCCAACAGGAAACTGATGGTGCTGGAGCCAAGTCTCCAACATTCCAGAAACTGTCCCCCAAGTGGTGCTTCCTGGATGCAACCACTGCCAGCTTCTTCTACAGGAGGGACTGGGCCCAGGAACGCCTCAACTATGTAACTGAGATTGCCCAGGACAAGATTTACATCCTGGACCCTAAATTGCTGGGGGCACCTGCTCTGCCTGACCTCTCTATTCCCACTTCCTCTTTCCCCACCTCCCGCTGCTCACCCACACCCCAGTGAGTCCCAGGCCCTACTTTTCCTGAATGCCCTGGTCACTCCTGAATCCAGCCCAGCCTCTGCCCTGAGCCCAGGTGGACTTCTGGCTAGCTTCCTACTTGCCAACAAGCAGCAACAAAATGAACCAGGCCCAGCTTGCCCACCTCCCCCCTCACAATTCCAGACTTCCCCATCTGTCCACTCAGAGACCAGGGCTCCTTTTCTGTCTTCTGTCTCTTCTTAATTCCTATCAGCTCCCTCAGCATCCAAACACTCCTCCTCACCTGCCAACATCCACCTCCAGCAGTTGTACTTGTGCCTCATGCTACCTACGACCATTCTTCACTCAGCAGCCTTGAAAACTGCAGACCAGCCCAGGCCAACCTCAGCTGGCCTCAGGCCAG